GTTTTTGCTAATAAATTATTTTAAGTTTGTTTTATCCTTTCTCTCTCTTTTCCTCCTGCAGGCCATGTCGATGACCTATTTCCATTTTTCATGAGACATGCTAAGCAGATCTTTCCTATGTTGGAGTGCATGGATGATCTGCGTAAAATCAGTGACTTAAGATTGCCACCCAACTGGTTAGCTTTTTAAAATCACTAACACATTTTCCACTTTGTAACTATATACTATTGTTAATTGCCATTAAATTGCTTTGACTTATGGCAACCCTATGAATGAGAGACCTCAGAGTCTCCATATTATCAAAAGCTCTGCTCAGGTCTTGCAGACACAGGATGTGGTTTTCTTGATTGAGCCTCTCCATCTGGAATGTGGTCTTCATTTTTTCCTACTTCCCAGACTTTATAATTTTTTCTACTGAGTTATGTCTTCTCATGACAAACATGACAGTTAGTTTAGCCATTTTGGCTTCTAGGGAGAGTTTAGGCTTGGTTTGCTTTACGACACATTAATTTGTCAATTTTAGCAGTCCACATTATCCATAGAACTGCTCTCCAGTACCACATTTCCATTGAATTGATTCTTTTCCCATCCACTGTCTTCACTATCCAGCTTTCACAACCACACATAAATAAGGACAATGATGGCATGGACAATCCCAATTTTTTAATTCTATTATTTATTTATTTATTTATTTATTTACGACATTTATATGCCGCCCTTCTCAGCCCGAAGGGGACTCAGAGTGGCTTACAAGATATATATACATAAAATATATTATATTTTTAGCATAATACAATATTAGTATTTAATATTACTAAATTGTACTAAATTATATGTTTGTGCACTTCAGGATCTTGCCTAGTTGCCTTACACCTGTCCTTACATCTGTATGGCATTCTCTCATGGCCAAACAGCCCGTAAAACCCACAGCAACCCAGTGATTCTAGCCATGAAAGCCTTCGACAACACAGTCATTTTGTTTGTTTCCTTAACCACACTTTTCCAAACATCTTGTATGTGTAATATTTGCTAATTGTTTTGCTTTTGATATGTTGTAAAATACTTTGGGTCCCTTTGTAGGAAAAAAGCGGGATACAAATAAAAATATTGTTGTTGCTCCATCCTACATGACCCCCATAGATGCAATTCTGTGTCTTACATCTCCAACATTACACTCAATGAAATTTATCCATTTTAACTAACATCTCTGATGTTATGTAACATCTATAGAACATTTTATACATATTTCTCTAATAGAGACAGCTATTGAAAATTTAAATCATCTTTTTCATAGATATTGTCACAACTCAGGGTAGTTTTCACCTTGCTCAAGACACCAACACACACCAAGGCTGTAGTTTTATAGTTTATTGAGAAAAAGCAAAATCAAAACAGAGAAATAAAGCTGCAGAAGTTCCAAAGGCAAAATAGAGTCTTAAAAGCAAAGGCAAGGTTTCCAGGATCCACAGGCAAAAACATGAAGCATAATCCCTTAGCAATGATCAAACAAGAGTCCATGACAAACAGGTAAAATCAGGAACAGAAACCCAGTCTTCAATAAGCCAGAAATGGTCCACAAAAGCTGAGGCTATTCCACAGCAGTTAATGGGGAAAGAAGTAACATTGAACTGACTACAAATGTCTGTCAGTTACACCATTAAATAACCCTCCCAAACATAAAAGCATTACGTTGACCTTTGGCTTCCCTCTTGCTAGCAAGGCATGTGCTTCGGCGGACTCTTAATTGCAAACAATCCTGTCTGCTCATTAATTCACTATCTTCAAACTCCTTATCTCGGCCCAGCTGGGCCGGATCACTCTGAGAACCAGAAAGGAGTCTCCAGCTGCACTTGTGGGATTTCACTGTCTCTATCTAAAGACACATTCCTTTCCTCGGGAAACAGGCTTGCTGTTTCTTCTTCAGAAGGCACACTATCAGCCCCGCCTGGAGCATGTACAGAAATCTGCAACCCATCATGTCTCCGCGTCATCCTGCCTAAAATCATGCTCAGGCTCAGAAGGGCCACACAGTTCAGTGTCAGACTCAGACTGAGCCACAACAGATATTCCCATTTCTTCATCTCCCAGATATAGGAATGTAGCTGGACTAATCTCTGCTGCTCCTTCCTCTACCAATAGGGATAGGAACTGTCCATGGGGCAAATTCAATGGAAAAAGAGATGCTTTGAGGAGAACAGAATTCTGATCTTTGCAGTAACTACATAAGTGGGTTATGATGGTATAAGTTGGATCTGTGTCATCATAACCCCCTAACAGGGTTATGCAACAGGGTGCCAGCTTCTGTGTGGTTTAACATTAGTGACTTATGCTTTATTCATTACTTGACAGTTTAGGTTATGTAGATTTGCTTCCTAGTTATTGGATCACATGGTCTAAAATAATATAAAGCTACATTAGTCGTTTATTAGGTTTCAGTCACATTTTGAATACATTTTCAGCATTGCACTACCACTCTATCATATTTTTACTTGGGACTAACTAAGTTTGTTCCTGTTTCCTTAGATATTTCCCCAAGTCAGTGGATATAGGATCCCCCAGTGGTGCAGTGGGTTAAACCCTTGTGCTGGCAGGATTGCTGACTGACAGGTTAGCGGTTTGAATCTGGGGAGAGCGGGTTGAGCTCCCTCTGTCAGCTCTAGTTCCCATGGGGGACATGAGAGAAGCCTCCCACAAGAATGGTAAAACATCAAACAGCCGTACGGCCAATTCTTTCACACCAGAAGCAACTTGCAATATCTCAAGTTACTCCTAACACAAGAACAAACGTGTGTATAGGATTTCTGTCCATGTGCTCTGCACCTTCAATAGAGACTTGTTTCATAGTGTGAACTGAAACGTGCTGATAACAATCTTTCTCAGTGAACAACTCAGACAAATCAGGGTTAGTATTTAAAATGGGTGAAATGACACGTACCACCTAATAGGAAAGGGGGATTGATTCAAAAGTGAATCTAGACTGCCTTACAACTGCATTTTTGTATGTTGTTTTTTATTTCCTATTTCCTGTATTTATACCCTGCCCTTCTCCCCCTTTTTTGTGTTTGTGTATTCTAGGTATCCAGAAGCAAGGGCTATCCAGAGGAAAATTGTGTTCCATGCTGGCCCTACGAACAGTGGAAAAACCTATCATGCAATCCAGAGATATTTAGCAGCAAAATCGGGAATCTATTGTGGCCCTTTAAAGCTTCTGGCACATGAAATCTTCCAAAAGAGTAATGATGCTGTCAGTATGTCAATGTATTTTAATGCTGTTATCGCCATGTTGTAGTTTATGCTATGATAGCAAGTACTCTGATGATGATACGTGAAATAAAAATGCCAAGTTTGCATGATTTTTTTCTTAACTGTATAAATAGGTACCCCTAGAAGTTTATGATTTATATTTTAACTGTGGACAAGTAGGACAGAAATTGGAAAAAAGACAGAGGAGATGAGAGTAGAAAGAAAAATAAGACAGAATAAGAATATTATGGATTTTATGAATAAGAGTACAGTACTAGATTTTATGAAGAATGGAAATGTGTATTTCTGTAATTGTTATTACATGTTCTGTTAATGGATTCAATTTGTATAATTGTATAAATAGGTACCCCTAAAACATATAATTTATGTTTTACAGTAGGCAAGTAGAATCATAGAATCAAAGAGTTGGAAGAGACCTCATGGGCCATCCAGTCCAACCCCCTGCCAAGAATCAGGAATATTGCATTCAAATCACCCCTGACAGATGGCCATCCAGCCTCTGTTTAAAAGCTTCCAAAGAAGGAGCCTCCACCACACTCTGGGGCAGAGAGTTCCACTGCTGAACGGCTCTCACAGTCAGGAAGTTCTTCCTCATGTTCAGATGGAATCTCCTTTCTTGTAGTTTGAAGCCATTGTTCCATGTCCTAGTCTCCAGGAAAGCAGAAAACAAGCTTGCTCCCTCTTCCCTGTGGCTTCCTCTCACATATTTATACATGGCTATCATATCTCCTCTCAGCCTTCTCTTCTTCAGGCTAAACATGCCCAGCTCCTTAAGCCGCTCCTCATAGGGCTTGTTCTCCAGACCCTTGATCATTTTAGTCCCTCCTCTGGACACATTCCAGCTTGTCGATATCTCTCTTGAATTGTGGTGCCCAGAATTGAACACAATATTCCAGGTGTGGTCTAACCAAAGCGGAATAGAGGGGTAGCATTACTTCCCTAGATCTGACACTGTAGAAAAGTAGGAGATTGGAAAAAAGTCAGAGGAGATGAGAGCAGAAAGGGAAAAATAAAGAATAAGAATATTATAGATTTTAAGAATATTATGGATTAGATTGTATGAAGGATCAAAATGTGTACATCTGTAATTGTTATTGCGTGTTCTGTAATAGTTTCAATTTAAGGAATTTGGAATAACTGAGCTGCTTGAAGGCCCACACTATTGCAGAATTTTGCGTGGGCTTTTTTCCTCTCCCTTAGAAAGAATACTAAGCCAAAATGCAAGAAGGAAATGAAGCTTAGACTGCTTTTACTATCTTTTGCTAGTAATCGAGCCTTGCAACATTTTATATATCTCTGTGTTTATCTACCATCTTATGTGTCTCTGTAAATGTAACTTCCAGTAATTTTTCATCCACAATATGATAGTTATTTCCAAAATTCGAAGGGCTACAGTTCAATAGTATATCCGAAAACTCCTAATTTTCTTGGGGCATTTCCCAGTCAGCCCTGGGAAGAGCCTCATCTATCACCCTATAGGTAATATTGAGATAGATCAGCCCATATTTATGATAGTTTCCATGGAAGTGAAACAAATTTGATATTACCTATTGAATCTAAAGGAAATGTGCTTTAGAACCTACATTCTTAAGGGTTTGAGTGTTTCAACTATATTTAGGACTTTACTTTTCACATCTCTCAAGTGTAGTATCGATGATACTTTCTGACCATCATTTTGTTTGCATCCATTGCCTTTTTCTTCCTTGCAGAATGTGCCCTGTGACTTGGTGACCGGAGAAGAACGTGTCTCAGTTGATCCCGAAGGTCGGCCAGCTGCCCATGTTGCTTGCACCATTGAAATGTGCAGTGTCAATACACCCTGTATGTATGCTCTTTTTATTTTTGAAAAGTTTTTCAAGAATTTTGAACCATAGTCATAATTGTTTTTTTTTTTTAAATGGGAATATTTTAACTAAAAACTCGTTCCTGGCTTTGTTTGCTAGATGCCAACTTTGGGAGAGTATATAAGTTGAGTTGTAGGTTTTTCGGGCTATATGGCCATGTTCTAGATGCATTTAGGAGAGAATGCCTCTAGAACAGTGGTTCTCAACCTGGGGTCCCCAGCTGTTTTTGGCCTACAACTCCCAGAAATCCCAGTCAGTTTACCAGCTATTAGGATTTCTGGGAGTTGAAGGCCAAAAACATCTGGGGACCCCAGTTTGAGAACCACTGCTCTAGAACATGGCCATATAGCCTGAAAAAACCTACAACAACCCAGTGTTTCTGGCCATGAAAGCCTTCGACAATATATAAGTTGAGCATCCTTTATTTGAAATGCTTGGGACTAGAAGTGTTTGGGATTTCAGATTTTTTTTCAAAGGCTGTATTTTCATAGTAAAGGTAAAGGTTTCCCCTTGGCATTAAGTCTACTCGTGTCCGACTCTGGGGGTTGGTGTTCATCTCCATTTCTAAGCCGAAGAGCTAGTGTTGTCCATAGATACCTCCAAGGTCATGTAGCCGGCATGACTGCATGGAGCGGCATTACCTCCCCACAGAGCAGTACCTATTTTTTTTAATCATCTTTATTGTACAATTTTCCTTAATTATTATATATAATACAGAAGGGAAGGGGAAGAGAAATACACAGTTGAATATGAAGGGTGTCAGAGAATGGGGATAGGAAGTGAAATGGTAAGCGTGGGCATGTGGTGTTCCATACAATGGTTGACTTCCAGTATAGTCCACAGGGTTAAATGAAAAAAAGTTCTTGCTTCCTACATTCTTGTTGCATTCTAAGATCACCTTCACTTTTACTCTATCTGTATAGATTTCTTTAAGATACTTCCTTAGCGGTTGCCAATCAATTATTATCTTCTTATTCTGATCATAAACCATATTCGCCAAGTTATCCATGTCCATATATCCCCTTATCTTAAGAATCCAGAATTCAAATGATGGGAGTTCTTTGGTTTTCCACTTTCTAGCTAATATAGTTCTTGCAGCGGCAGACAAATAGTATAGTAACTTATTATTTTTCCCTGGATCAAAGTCCAGTAGATGTAATAAATAATACTCCGGTTTCATGCCGAATTTAATATGAAATATTTTTTGTACGTGAGTATGTATCTCTTTCCAAAAGATCTTTACTCTTTTGCATCAGAGCAGTACCTATTGATCTACTCACATTTGCTTGTTTTCGAACTGCTAGGTTGGCAGGAGCTGGGGCTAACAGTGGGAGCTCACCCTGCTCCCTGGATTTGAACCACTGACCTTTTGGTCAGCAAGTTGAACAGCTCAGTGATTTCACCCACTGCACCATCGGGGGGGGGGCTCTGTATTTGCATATATGTATGAGTAATGAACTTAATGGCGAATAACAACAAAGAAATATTGTCGAAGGCTTTCATGGCTGGAATCACTCAGTTCTTGTGGGTTTTTTCGGGCTATATGGCCATGTTCTAGAGGCATTTCTCCTGACGTCTCGCCTGCATCTATGGCAAGCATCCTCAGAGGTAGTGAGGTCTGTTCTATAGCCATGTTCTAGAAGCATTCTCTCCTGACGTTTTGCCTGCATCTATGGCAAGCATCCTCAGAGGTGAGGTCCACCTCTGAGGATGCTTGCCATAGATGCAGGCGAAACGTCAGGAGAAATGCCTCTAGAACATGGCCATATAGCCCAAAAAACCCCACAAGAACTGAAAAATTATATACTTTGGAGAGCTTGGTCATTAGAATATAGTCTAATAATTTTCCTCTCCAGTCCTTTATAAGTAACTTTTCCCCCTCCCATGATTTTGCTATAATTAATTCTGCAGCAACAAAACTGTATCAACAAATCTCTACATCTCATTAACTAATTCTTTCATAAAATAAACCTAATAGACACACCGGGGAGGAACAAATGAAAACTTTTTTAGAAAATGGAGGCATTTGAGTCTTTAGAAAGGAAGACAAATGTAGATTTTAAGAAAGCTGAAAGCAGACTGTATTAATATAAAGATAAGGGTAGTTTTTTATTTAGTTTCACTCTGAGTGAATGGGTGGTGATTCATGGGTGGGGGAAGGGGGTGGGTTCGGTGGACAGATATATATTACGTTTTTGAATTTCCTTTTGCGTTAATAATAATAATAATAACAACAACACTTTATTTATACCCCGCTACCATCTCCCCAAGGGACTCGGTGCGGCTTACATGAGGCCGAGCCCAAAATACAACAATACAAGCAATAACAACAACAATACAAGCAATTTAAAAACAACAAAACAATAAAACAATAACATAAGCATTATCAATAGGACAACACACTTTAAAATCTATGGGTAGGCCAAATGTAATTAAAATTAAAAATAATGCTGGACATGGGCGAAAAAAGTGATGGGGCAGTTTGTGGAAACATACAAGCAGACCTAAAACAATATAAAGTGCTTTGGAGGACAAAGTGCTATGGGATCATTATTCTGGGAAGGCACACTGGAACAACCACGTCTTCAAGCTCCTCTTAAAGACTGCCAAGGTTGGGGCCTGCCTGATATCTTTAGGAAGTGAGTTCCAGAGTCGAGGGGCCACCACTGAAAAGGCCCTCTCTCTCGTCCCCACCAATCACACTTGCGATGCAGGTGAGAGAGTGAGCAGGGCCTCTCCAGATGATCGAAGAGATCATGTAGGTTCGTATACAGAGATGTGGTCACGAAAGTAGGCGGGTCTCAAACCGTTCAGGGCTTTGTAAGTGAGAACCTGCACCTTTAATTGGGTCCGGAAAATGAATGGCAGCCAGTGGAGCTCCTTAAACAGAAGGGTTGACTGCTCCCTGTAAGGAGCCCCGGTTAACAACCTGGCTGCCGCCCATTGAACCATTCTGTATACCACCTTTATACAATAAAAAAATTGTTTAAAAATAAAATAACAATTATATATTTTTCATGTATATCTTATAAACATACCCAGAAAATAATTTCATAATATGTTAATAGTTTTATCCATGAAATAAAGTCTGTATACATTGAACTACCAGGAAGCAAAGTGTCACTATTTTAGCCATCAATGTGGACAGTTTTGGATTTTGGGAGTATTTTGGCATTCAGAATAGGGATGCCCAACTTTTCCAAGCACTTATTATGATGTATTGACAATCTAGAAAAATCAAAACATGGAAACACTTTTAAAATGAATCACCACTTTGAAGAGCTCATACTAAGAATCACCATTACATTGTGCCTTTATATTCTATATGGCTTTCACTGCATGCCCCACTGTCTGTTTTTTTTTCCAGATGAAGTGGCTGTGGTGGATGAAATTCAGATGATTAAAGATCCTTCTCGAGGTTGGGCCTGGACGCGAGCTCTCCTGGGTATGTCTTTTAAGTGTTTGCTATTTCTAAAACATCTTATCCAGAGGCACAGGCTTGTATGGCTTCCCTTAAATGTTTACTACGTAGCTGTTCTATTATACTGATATGAATATGCTGAGTATTAATTTTCTCTGAAACTCCAGTCGCTATGCACCACTTTGAAAGGAGTCGTACTAATTATAGGTTTTTGTTGGACAACACTTGCAGGACAGTGCTAGTTATGTCAGGATTGTGTTTTATTACATTTATTTATGTTGCAGGTGAATTGCTTTGAAATTCTTTTTTTCCCTGTATGTATGGATATATTCAGGACTATGTGCAGAAGAAATCCATGTTTGCGGTGAAGCTGCTGCTATTAATTTGGTGACGGAACTCATGTATACTACAGGGGAGGAGGTGGAGGTATGTTTCACAACTTTGCTTTTATATGTGCATCTTCCAGCTGGCTTTTATTTAAAATAGTCATGAGTTCTTGTTTGTTAAAATCACTATTTTTATATTAGGAGTTATTTTTTTAAGGTCTAACCTCCCCAAATTGTGTTTTATTAGCTATAGCTATATTACATGTAACTAGTGTTTTTTTGTAGCATAGATATATTACATGTAACTAGTGTTTTTTTGTAGTGGCATCCCCCAAATTTGTACTCTAAGCTATAGCTATATTACATGTAACTAGTGTTTTTATTAGCATAGCTATATTACATGTAGCTAGTGTTTTGTTTTTTTGTAGTGGCAGTCCCCTAATTTGTACTCTAAGTGTAGTGGCAGCCCCCTAATTTGTACACTAAGCTATAGCTATATTACATGTAACTAGTGTTTTTTTTGTTTTGTTTTTTTGTAGTGGCAGCCCCCTAATTTGTATTCTAAGTGTAGTGGCAGCCCTCCTAATTTGTACACTAAGCTATAGCTATATTACATGTAACTAGTGTTTTTATTAGCATAGCTATATTACATGTAACTAGTTTTTTTTGTAGTGGCAGCCCCCTAATTTGTACTCTAAGTGTAGTGGCAGCCCCCTAATTTGTACACTAAGCTATAGCTATATTACATGTAACTAGTGTTTTTATTAGCATAGCTGTATTACATGTAGCTAGTGGTTTTTTTGTAGTGGCAGCCCCCTAATTTGTACTCTTGAAGTGTAGTGGCAGCCCCCTAATTTGTACACTAAGCTATAGTTATATTACATGTAACTAGTGTTTTTATTAGCATAATATTACATGTAGCTAGTGTTGTTGTTTTTTTGTATTGGCAGCCCCCTAATTTGTACTCTAAGTGTAGTGGCAGCCCCCTATTTTGTACTCTAGGTGTAGTGGCAGCTCCCTAATTTGTACACTAAGCTATAGCTATATTACATGTAACTAGTGTTTTTTTGTAGTGGCAGCCCCCTAATTTGTACTCTAAGCTATAGCTATATTACATGTAACTAGTGTTTTTATTAGCATAGCTTTATTACATGTAGCTATTGGTTTTGTTTTGTTTTTGTAATGGCAGCCCTCTAATTTGTACTCTAAGTGTAGTGGCAGCCCCCTAATAATAATAATAATAATAATAATAATAATAATAATAATAATAACAACAACAACACTTTATTTGTACCCCGCTACCATCTCCCCAAGGGACTCGGTGCGGCTTACATGAGGCCGAGCCCAAACACAACAATACAAGCAATAATAACAACAATACAAGCAATTAAAAACACATAGACAATAAAAACAACATTATCAATAAGACAACACATAATTAAAAACAGTGGGAAGGCCAAATGTTAGGTTAAAATTGGAAATAATGCTGTGACATGCACAGAAGGTGATGCTGGTGTTTATGGAAGGGCATACGAGCAGACCTAAAGAAATGTAAAGTGCTTTGGAGGACAAAGTGCTATGGGTCATTATTCCGGGAAGGCACACTAATTTGTACTCTAAGTGTAGTGGCAGCCCCCTAATTTGTACTCTAAGTGTAGTGGCAGCCCCCTAATTTGTACACTAAGCTATAGCTATATTACATGTAACTAGTGTTTTTATTAGCATAGCTATATTACATGTAACTAGTGTTTTTTGTAGTGGCAGCCCCCTAATTTGTACTCTTAAGTTCCCTTCTGGATTAGATGGGGAAAACCTTATCATGTCCAATATACAGCTTTTGGGGATGCAGGTATGTTGCCCTCATAGAACCATCATTGTGTAGTGATTTGAGCATTTGACTATGACTCTGGAGGCCAGGATTTGAATCTCTATTTAACCATAAAAACCCTGTGTGGGACAAGTCACATTCTCTCAGCTTCAGAGGAAGGAAAAGAAAAAAAACCCTGCAAACAAATCTTGTCAAGAAAACTCAGTGATAGCTGTGCCATAGGTCGGAAACAACTTGAAAACACCCTGCTGGGAGCTCTCTGGGAAGCTCTGGGTCAGAATATGAAGATACTTGACCTTTATGCCAGATCTCTTTTCCAGGTTGACCCTGCAATCCCAGCCCTTGGACTTCCTGTCACTCACCCTGCCCTTTCCTCCTGTGGATGGGCTTCCTTGTGGTGGGCGTGACCTGATTAACAGGCTGTAATTAGACAGCCAGAGGCAGTTATAAAAACCACAGGCGGGCTTTGATTACATGTTCTTGCCCTGGTGAAGAGAGTTGGACTGGATGGCCTTAAGTATTTTCTGTTGGTCATGGGTGTTCTGTGTGGGAAGTTTGCCCCATTTCTGTCGTTTGTGGGTTTCAGAATGCTCTTTAATTGTAGTGAACTATAAATCCCAGTAACTACAAATCCCAAATGTCAAGGTCTATTTCCTCCAAACTCCATCTGTGTTCATATTTGGGCATATGGAATATTTGTGTCAAGTTTGGTCCAGATCCATCATTGTTTGAGCCCAAGTGCTCTCTGGATGTAGGTGAACTACAACTCCCAAACTCAAGGTCAATGCCCACCAAACCCTTCTAGTGTTTTCTGTTGGTCATGGGAGTCCTGTGTGCCACATTTGGTTCAATTCCATTGTTGGTGGGGTTCAGAATGCTCTTTGATTGTAGGTGAACTATAAATCCCAGCAACTACAACTCCCAAATGACAAAATCATTTTTTTGAGTGAAGGACATACATTGGGTTGTTAGGTGTCTTGTGTCCAAATTTGGTGTCAATTCCAGTGGTTTTTGAGTTCTGTTAATCCCATGAACGAACATTACATTTTTATTTATATAGATTATAGGTAATAGGTAAGCACATTTACATTGAAGGTTAGAATAATGGTTGAATCAGAGTTGGGCAGTCTTATCTTAAATTAAATTAAATTTGTGTAAATACTCAAAAACATTTAACCTCCTGACGATTACCAGTAGCAGCTACATTTTTCAACCTTGGCTTATACTCGAGTCAATACGTTTTTCCAGTTTTTTGTGGTAAAATTAGGCCCCTTGGCTTATATTCGGATCGGCTTATACTCGAGTATATATGGTATGTTATTTTGCACTGTTTATTTAATTCTGTTATTTTTTGTATTTTGTTGTGATGTAATTTTTCTGTTGTTTTGTGTCTAACTTTGCTGGTTTGTTTTTGGGCTTGGCCTCATGTTAGCCTCCCCGAGTCCCCTTTGGGGAGATGGTGGCGGGGTATAAATAGATTATTATTATTATTATTATTATTATTATTATTATTATTATTAGTCTGTGACCATGATTAGAAAGTCAGTTATTGCAAAGTCTGTATATGACCTCCCTGCCTTCGTCTGTTTGGGAAGCTGTGTTTAAAATCCAGGGGACTTTCAGACTTTGGTATAGGAAGCAGACATTATTTCACACATTCAAGGCCTTGTTGTGCCAATATGGCTTCTTAGATGCTCTCAAAGATTTCTTTGTTGATGACAGTTGTGTTACAATTGCTGTCTGTCTCTAGGTGAGAAACTACAAGAGACTGACCCCTATCAAGGTGCTGGATGAAGCACTCCAATCACTAGATAAGCTTTGCCCTGGAGACTGCATTGTCTGTTTCAATAAGAATGATATTTATTCAGTGAGTCGGCAGATTGAAGCACGGGGCCTGGAATGTGCCGTCATTTATGGAAGTCTGCCCCCTGGTAAATACTCTCAAATACATTTGGAGGAGTTCATGGGGGGGGGGGGGGGGGCCCTGTGATGTACCCATTAGGATTCATTACCAGGGTCTGACATGGATACGCAAAACACAGACTATTGTTTCTCATATACCATAGGTTTTTAAATCCTTGTGTGTTAATGTTTATATGTGATTTATATTAATTGTATTGTTTTTGTTTATTGCTTTCTTGTTTTATTGATGTGTTGTTGGGCTTGGCCTCATGTAAGCCGCTCCGAGTCCCTTGGGGAGATGGTGGCGGGGTATAAATAAAGTTTTATTATTATTATTATAGTCTGGAGCGAGATCAGATCCCAGCCTGAGCACTGCCATTGATGAATTTTACACATAGCTTGGACTTTCTCGTATATCCTTGGTTTTTAGCTATTGAATTAGTATGAAATAAACTGTTGCGACTACTATAGTAACATTTCCTGTGATTTGGTCTTGGGTTAGGTATCTATCTGTCTTGTCATGTCTTGTGAAAAACAACATTTAAATCAGTTTTGCTCACTTAATTCATAATAGGGCAGTGGTTCTTAACCTGTGCGTCCCCTAGCAGCTGGGATTTCTGGGAGTTGTAGGCCAAAATACCTGGGGACCCACAGGTTGAGAACCACTTTCCTAGACACTTGAGAAGTGTCCAATGTGTAATATAATGAGCAGAGAGAGCTTAAACCAGGGGTCCACAAACTGTTTAAACAGAGGGCCAGGTCACAGTCCCTCAAACTGTTGGAGGGCCAGATTATAATTTGAAAAAAACATTAATGAATTCCTATGCACACTGCACATATCTTATTTGTAGTTCAAAAAACACTAAAACAATGCAATAATTAAAATGACGAACAATTTTAACAAATATAAAGTTAATAGTATTTCACTGGGAAGTGTGGGCTTGCTTTTGGCTGATGAGATAAGATGGTTGTTGTTGTTGTTGTGTGCTTTCAAGTTGTTTCAGACTTAGGTTGACCCTGAGCGAGGGCCGGGTAAATGACTTTGGAGGGCTGTATCTGGCCCCCGGGTCATAGTTTGAGGACCCCTGGGTTAAACCCTTGTGCCGCAGGACTGCTCACCAACAGATCAGAGGTTCGAATCTAGGGAGTGCAGGTTAAGCTCCCTCTGTCAGCTCCAGCTGACAGAGAAAAGCCTCCCACAAGGATGGTAAAACATCAAACACCCAGTCATCCCCTGGGCTACGTCCTTGCAGACGGCCAATTCTCTCAAACCAGAAGTGAAGAGAAGAAGTGGGCAGTTGGCGTGCCTGAAATGGTCTTGAGCAGTTCTTGAGGCTATATTTAATGCAGTCCACTGGAAAATGCCACTGTGAATGGGAACGAAAAAAGTTGTGATTCTTACATTTCAAGCCAATGGAAAACCAAAGAATTGTATCTATATTTGGGACACAGCCTGTTTTTGTGGTTATTTCAGGTACAAAACTTACCCAGGCAAAGAAGTTCAATGATCCTGATGATCCATGTAAAATCATGGTTGCTACAGATGCAATCGGGATGGGCCTCAATTTGTAAGTATAATGATTTATTAAATGTTACTAGCCGTCCCCTGCCACGTATTTTCTGTTGCTCATGGGAGTCCTGTGTCCCAAGATTGGTCCAATTCCATCATTGGTGGAGTTCAGAATGCTCTTTGATTGTAGGGGAAATATAAATCCCAGCAACTACAACTCCCAAATGACAAAGTCAATTTTTTTTGAGTGAAGGACATACATTGGGTTGTTACGTGTCTTGTGTCCAAATTTGGTGTCAATTCGTCCAACGGTTTTTGAGTTCTGTTGCACACCCAACCCTTCCAGTAATTTTCTGTTGGTCATGGAGTCCATCATTATTTGAGTCCACAGTGCTCTCTCAGTGTTGGTGAACTACAACTCCTAAACTCAAGGTCAATGCCTCCCAAACCCTTCCAGTATTTTCTGTTGGTCATGGGGGTTATGTGTGGGAAGTTTGGTTAAATACTATTATTGGTGGAGTTCAGAATGATCTTTGAATGTAGGCGAACTACAAATCCCACCAACTACACCTTCCAAATGATAAAATCAATCTGTCCCCCAACCCCACCAATATCGGGTATTTGTGCCGAATTTGGTCCAGTGAATGAAAATACATTCTGCATATCAGATATTTACATTATGATTCATAACAGTAGAAAAATTACAGATATGAAGTAGCAGCGGAAATGATTTTATGACTGGGGGTCACCACAATATTAGGAACTGTATTAAGGAGTCATGGCATTAAGAAGGTTGAGAAACACTGATCTAGACACTAGGCCAAAATCCCATTGGCTTTTTTTGCTGCTACATCACATTATGTTCACCACTTGAGAGTGTTGTAGAGAGCTTTCAGCATTGGGCATCTAGCACCTTCCCCAACCTATATTTGGACTTCTAATTGTGATTTGGGCTGGCATGAGTAGGGTCTTCTGAAGGACCTGTGATCTGGTGTAACATATATAGCAGTTTTCTCTCTTCAATCAGTCTTCTGTGCTTTTGTTCTAGGAGCATCAAAAGGATCATTTTTAACTCCTTGGTCAAGCCCACTGTGAATGAGAAGGGTGAAAAAGAAATGGATACAATTACAACTTCCCAAGCACTACAAATTTCAGGCCGAGCTGGAAGGTTTAGCACGGTTTTCAAAGAGGGGGAAGTTACTACTATGCACCGAGATGACCTTCCTTTGCTGAAGGAAATCTTGAGTAAATCGGTGGATCCCATACTGGTAGGATCTTAAATATTATAAAATAAATATTATAATATTTATTTAGCTCTATTTAAATAAATATAATATAATAAATATTTATTTAAATAGAGCTGTGTTAGATCACATTAACTTGACTTAGGTAACATCAGGGACTGCCTTCCACTACAGATGTGAACCACTTTGTTGTGGAGTTAAATTCCTATCATCCCTCATAATTAGGTGTTCAGCCTAGGGCTCTACTGATTGGCCCAGCTTTTCATCTAGGACAGAATTGTCTCCTTCAACTGACAGCAGTTTTCCTGAGTCCAGGCTTCGGAGTTTCCCATTTCTGCCTACTGGAGATGTCAGAGCCTGAACTTGGGAAGTCCTGTAAGCAGGAGAGATGATCTACTACTAAGTCACAATCTGACATTGCAGATATGCATTTTGATTACCCTTGGTGATTGGGGCACTCATCAAGCCCTGCTGACCTCCACAACTAAAACACACACTACATCCCTGACCATCTGCTATAGTGTTGAAGGCTGGGTAGTATTGCCTAGGCCAGGCCCACACAACCTGCGGCTGTCCGGATGTTTTGGACTTCATCCTCCAGAATTTCTGACCACTGGACAAGCTGGCTAGGGCTTCTTGAGAGTTGGAGTCCCAAACACCTGGAAGGCCACAGATGGCAGGCCTGGTCTACGTCCTAGATACTAGGGCACCTGCAGCATCAAACTGGAAAAGACTGTTTCATATGTATTGTCAATGGCTTTCATGGCCGGAATCACTGGGTTGTTGTAGGTTTTTTTCAGGCTATATTGCCATGTTCTAGAGGCATTTTCTCCTGATGTTTCGCCTGCATATATGGCAAGCATCCTCAGAGGTAGTGAGGTCTGTTGGAATTAGGAAAATGGTTTATATATTTGTGGATTGGGGCAAGGTATGAATGTTTCAACTGGCCACCTTGATTAGCATTTGACGGCCAGACAGTTTTTAGGTGTGCCTTCTTAGAGCCCAGTTTAGGTGGTTCAGTTCATCACCCAAACATCCAATTCACCATGGAAAAAGAAAATGAAGGAAGACTGCCTTGTCATCTGTAAACCAGATCAACAATTGGGTCACACCGTTTACAGAAAACCCACACACAGAGATAGATACCTACATAAAAACTCCAGCCATCACCCAAGTCAAAAAAAGAAGCACCATTAAAAACTTGGCAGATTGTGCAGAAAGAATCTGTGAACCCCACCTCCTCCAAGATGAACTGAACCACCTAAACTGGCTCTCTACAGGCCAATGGAGACTCCACCTCAGACATCAGAAGAGCTGCAAGACCAAGAACAAGCCAGAGTCAAGACAAAGATCCACCAGAGGAAAAGTGTTCTGCCATACATCAGGGGAACCACTGACTGCATAGGAAGCTGATGAGGTAACACAACCTACAAACTATCTGCAGACCCACTAAGAAAACATACACAAAAATGCTACATTCAGCAAAGGACAAGAGGGATCCTCTCACTTCTGCAGGAGTCTACCGTATACCATGCAGCTGTGGACAAGTCTACATAGGGACCACCAAACGCAGCATTGCCCAAACACGAATCAAGGAAAATGAAAGGCTCTGCAGACTACTTCAACCAGAGAAGTCAGCCATAGCAGAGCACCTGATGAACCAACCTGGACACAGCATATTATTTGAGAACACAGAAATGCTGGACCACTCTCACAACCACCATGTCAGACTACACAGAGAAGCCATTGAAATCCACAAGCATGTGGACAATTTCAACAGAAAAGGAAGAGACCATGAAAATGAACAAAATCTGGCTACCAGAATTAAAAAAACTCTATTACAACAGCAAAACAGCAGAGAGGAAACAATCAGGGACAGCTAATCGCCTCTCAACAAAAGATTGCCCCAGGCACCAACAAGCCAAACCAAACAACTGCCAGGCCATCAAATGCTAATCAAGGTGGTCAGTTGAAACATTCACACCTAGCTCCAGCAGACAAGAGTTCTTTGTCCCACCCTGGTCATTCCACAGATATATAAACCCATTTTCCTAGTTCCAACAGACCTCACTACCTCTGAGGATGCTTGCCATAGATGCAGGAAACGTCAGGAGAGAATGCCTCTAGAACATGGCCATATAGCCCGAAAAAACCTACAACAACCCACTTTTTCCCAACTCTTTACTAAAGAAAAAGCTGCTAAATTAATCTTGTTTGACAGAAATTTAAAATACTTGTGGAACATACATTAGCAGTTTCAGTGAGCTGAAAATAAGGTCCTTGCCCAATGAAAGCTATCCTTGCTGCCTATTTCTTATCATGCAGTCACATTTGTAAACATAAAATACAGTCTTCAAGCTGATTCTCTTGATAATTACACTCATGTTGGTGGCTGTAAATGCTATATATGTTGTGAGCATGTGGATCACGATCTTTCCAGCACGTTTGGGTTGTATTTTTTCATGCTGATACATAATCTTTTAGAAAACTGTAATTGTGATGAAAAATTCAACCTTCTTCTTCTCTTCCCAGACTGCAGGTTTGCATCCCACTGCTGAGCAGATTGAAATGTTTGCATATCACCTTCCTGATGCCACCCTCTCAAATCTAATTGTAAGAATCAGAAAGGCGGTTGAACTTTTTCAGTGTACAGTAGTTCACATACTGCATTGCTCTAGGGAGGTCACACTATTCTCACAAGCATCTGTTTTATGTAGATATAATCTACACAAATAAGATTTGCAGTTTTTGTTTCTGTAGAGCTTTTGAAAGTTCTGAGGGCTTGATTGATTGGCTGAGCTGTGGGAATCTGGGCAAGGAAAATGCTAGCCCTGGTTTTCTTCTCTGTAAAATATTATTTTGAATCATATACAGTAAGTTCTCCATATTCTTAGGTTCTGCTTCCAGGGATTTCACTACCCATAGCTTGAAAATATTCCAAAATGTTCTCCTCCAAAAAGCAAAGCTTGATTTTGCCGTTTTATATAAAGGACATCATTTTATTATACCATTGTATGTAAAAAGGACTTAGAAGGTCCTAGAATCAAATCCCAGCAAATAACAAGGGCCTACTGTACTATGTTTGGAATAGTTAAATATATTTACCCCTCCCCCCAGCACCAACTGCTGCTCTGGACCAGAGGGAAGAAAGAGGGGGCCAGAAGACAGTTTCACCTTGTCTCCTGTGCTATGATAATAATATCTATATCTATATCTATCTATATCTATATATATAATAAAGAAGAGTGTTTGTATCGGACAGAGGAATTGTGGAGGGCGGTGTATGTGGCAGCGTTCTGATTGGCTGCCGCTGTGGTGCTATTTGCATATGGTCTCTGATTGGCCAGCTTCAATAGGAGCCCCTGGTGGAGAAGAGGGTTCATGGCAGAAACGGGGCATGACAGAAGGAAATTTGCATATGGTCTCTGATTGGCCAGCCTCAAATCCAACATTCTGAGATGAGAAAGAGAGGAAAGGAAAGGCCGGGGGCTGGGTCAGAACACTCCCAATACAGCCCGAAATAGGCACACAGAGCCCCCATAACCTACTCGACATCCTACTGCAGTTTGGAGGAGTATGAACCATGGATGATGGGACTTGCAGTACCACCACTCACATTCTGAGACCGCTGTTAACCTTATCAAATGACTGATCAGGACCAAACTTCGCACATAGACCTCTCATGACCCACTTTACGTCCTGGTGTGGTTTGGCCGGGGATGGACCGTGGATTATGGGACTTGCAGTACCATTGCTTCAGACCACTGAACCCTCGCCAATGACTGATCAAGACCAAACTTGGCACACAGAGTCCCCATGACCCACTCTACATCCTGGTGCACTTTTGAGGAGGACAGACCATGGATGATGGGACTTCAAGTACCTCCACTCCCTTCCCAAGACTGCTGCAATCCTCATCTAATGTCCGATCAAGACCAAACTTGGCACACAGAGCCCCCATGACCCACTCTACATCCTGCTGCAGTTTGGAGGAGGATGGACTTTGGATGATGGGACTTGCAGTACCATCACTCACATTCTGAGACCGCTGTTAAACTCATCCAATGTCTGATCAGGACCAAACTTGGCACATAGACCTCTCATGACCCACTTTACATCCTGGTGTGTGTTTGTCTGGGGATAGACCATGGATTATGGGACTTGCAGTACTTTTGCGCATTCCTGAGACCACAGCAACGCTCATCCAATTACCGATAAAGACCAAACTTGGCACACTGAGTCTCCATGACGCACTCTACATCCAGGTGCAGTTTGAAGGAGGATGCACCATGGACGATGGGACTTGCAATACCTGCACTCCCTTCCTAAGACCATTACAACTGCCAACAATGATGGATCAGGAACACAATTTACACAGAGACCCAGCATGACCCACTCTACATCCTGGTGCGGTTTGGAAGAATTTGACAATGGATGATGGGACTTGCAGTCACTTCACTCACTTCCTGAGACGACTGAGACCCTCGCCAATGACTAATCAAGACTAAACTTGGCACATGGAGCTCCAATGACCCACTCTACATCCTGGTGCAGTTTGGAGGAGGACAGACCATGGATGATGGGACTTCAAGTACCTCCATTCCCTTCCAAAGATTGCTGCAACCCTCTTCTAATGACCAATCAAGACCAAACTTGGCACACAGAGCCCCCATGATCCACTCTACATTCTGCTGCTCTTTGAAAGAGGATGGACTTTGGATGATGGGACTTGCAGTACCTTCACTCACTTACTGACACCACTGCCACCCTCATCTAATGACTGATACATACCAAACTTGGCACACAGAGCCCCCATGACCCACTCTATATCCTGCTGCTGTTTGTAGGAGGATGGGCCATGGATGATGGGACTTCAAGTACCTTCACTCACTTCCTGAAAATAATGCAGCCGTTATCCAAAGACCAATAAAGACCAAACTTGGCATACAGAACCGCCATTACCCACTTTCTCTAATAACCCGGGCAACGCCGGGTCCCCAAGCTAGTATATAATAAAGAAGAGTGTTTGTATCGGACAGAGGAATTGTGGAGGGAGGGCGGTGTATGTGGCAGCGTTCTGATTGGCTGCCGCTGTGGTGCTATTTGCATATGGTCTCTGATTGGGCAGCTTCAATAGGAGCCCCTGGTGGAGAAGAGGGTTCATGGCAGAAACGGGGCATGACAGAAGGAAATTTGCATATGGTCTCTGATTGGCCAGCCTCAAATCCAACATTCCGAGATGACAAAGAGAAGAAAGGAAAGGCCGGGGGCTGGGTCAGAACACTCCCAATACAGACCGAAATAGGCACACAGAGCCCCCATCACCCACTCGACATCCTACTGCAGTTTGGAGGAGTATGAACCATGGATGATGGGACTTGCAGTACCACCACTCACATTCTGAGACCGCTGTTAACCTCATCCAATGTCTGATCAGGACCAAACTTGGCACATAGACCTCTCATGACCCACTTTACGTCCTGGTGTGTGTTTGGCTGGGGATAGACCATGGATTATGGGACTTGCAGTACTTTTGCCCAATTCCTGAGACCACTGCAACGCTCATCCAATTACCGATAAAGACCAAACTTGGCACACTGAGTCTCCATGACGCACTCTACATCCAGGTGCAGTTTGAAGGAGGATGCACCATGGACGATGGGACTTGCAATACCTGGACTCCCTTCCTAAGACCATTACAACTGCCAACAATGATGGATCAGGATCACAATTTACACAGAGACCCAGCATGACCCACTCTACATCCTGGTGCGGTTTGGAAGAATTTGACAATGGATGATGGGACTTGCAGTCACTTCACTCACTTCCTGAGACCACTGAGACCCTCGCCAATGACTAATCAAAACTAAACTTGGCACATGGAGCTTTAATGACCCACTCAACATCCTGGTGCAGTTTGGAGGAGGACAGACCATGGATGATGGGACTTCAAGTACCTCCACTCCCCAAGACTGCTGCAAAACTCATCTAATGACCAATCAAGACAAAAGTTGGCACACAGAGCCCCCATGACCCACTCTACATCCTGCTGCAGTTTTGGAGAAGGGTGGACCATGGATGATGGAACTTCCAGTACCTTCACTCACTTTCTGAGACCTCTGCAAACTTCATCCAATGATGGATCAAGACCAAACTTGGCACATAGACCTCTCATGACCCACGTTACGTCCTGGTGTTGTTTGGAAAAAAATTGGAGATGGATGATGGGACTTGCAGTACCTTTGCTCACTTCCTGAGACCACTGAGACCCTCGCCAATGACTAATCTAGACTAAACTTGGCACATGGAGCTCCAATGACCCCCTCTACATCCTGGTGCAGTTTGGAGGAGGACAGACCATGGATGATGGGACTTCAAGTACCTCCACTCCCTTCCCAAGATTGCTGCAACCCTCTTCTAATGACCAATCTAGACCAAACTTAGCACACAGAGCCCCCATGATCCACTCTACATCCTGCTGCAATTTGAAAGGGGATGGACTTTGGATGATGGGACTTGCAATACCTTCACTCACTTACTGACACCACTGCCACCCTCATCTAATGACTGAGAAAGACCTAACTTGGCACACAGAGCCCCCATGACCCACTCTATATCCTGCTGCTGTTTGTAGGAGGATGGCCCATGGATGATGGGACTTCAAATACCTTCACTCACTTCCTGAAAATAATGCAGCCGTTATCCAAAGACCAATAAAGACCAAACTTGGCATACAGAACCGCCATTACCCACTTTCTCTAATACCCCGGGCAACGCCGGGTCCCCAAGCTAGTATATAATAAAGAAGAGTGTTTGTATCGGACAGAGGAATTGTGGAGGGCGGTGTATGTGGCAGCGTTCTGATTGGCTGCCGCTGTGGTGCTATTTGCATATGGTCTCTGATTGGCCAGCTTCAATAGGAGCCCCTGTGGAGAAGAGGGTTCATGGCAGAAACGGGGCATGACAGAAGGAAATTTGCATATGGTCTCTGATTG